TCTAGACAAGAGAGCCAAGATTGGCAAAGGTTGCAATTGGGAGATTGTGCAAGGTGTGTTAAGCATATCACCTGAGGCAGAAGTGTTGGCTTTTACTATTTCTGCGTCCCAATAGCCCTCAAGGAACCAGAGGTCTGTTTTTCACCCAAGGCACCCCCCCCCCTTTGTTGCATGCAAATCGTGGGTTCATGTTAACAAGAGACATGTTTCTGAGATCCCATTTTTGGAAATGAGGTTTTAGAAGGCAAGCCGCAGGAATCCCTTGCCAGAGTTCCTTGGCTGCGCCCCACAAAACAGCTCTGGAAGTGGTTTAAAGTGCATTTGTGACTCCATGGGCCTCTCGTTGGGAAGGTTCTTCTAACAGCACGAAATAAGCAGCTCTGCTTGCAGCTTAATATTCTTGGTTGCGCTTTGAGCCAATGTTGCTTCTCTTGCCCTGTAAGCAAGAACCGATCATACCTACACTGTCCCCCAAAACACAGGAGGAATAAAAACACCCAGATCCTGAACACAGCTCTTATCTGTTTTTGGGGGACAGGAGGCGGGCGGGTGTGGAGGACTCCCTGGTCCTGAATGGGGTAACTGTGCCCCTGAAGGACCAGGTGCGCAGCCTGGGAGTCATTTTGGACTCACAGCTGTCCATGGAGGCGCAGGTCAATTCTGTATCTAGGGCAGCTGTCTACCAGCTCCATCTGGTACGCAGGCTGAGACCCTACCTGCCCGCAGACTGTCTCGCCAGAGTGGTGCATGCTCTGGTTATCTCTCGCCTGGACTACTGCAATGCGTTCTATGTGGGACTACCTTTGAAGGTGACCCGGAAACTACAACTAATCCAGAATGTGGCAGCTAGACTGGTGACTGGGAGCGGTCGCCAAGACTACATAATACCGGTCTTGAAAGATCTACATTGGCTCCAAGTACATTTCCAAGTGGGACGTGGGTGGCGCTGTGGGCTAAACCACAGAGCCTAGGGCTTGCCGATCAGAAGGTCGGCGGTTCAAATCCCCGCGACGGGGTGAGCTCCCCTTGTTCGGTCCCAGCTCCTGCCCACATAGCAGTTTGAAAGCACGTCAGGTGCAAGTAAATAGGTACTGCTCCGATAGGAAGGTAAACGGTGTTTCCATGCGCTGCTCTGGTTCGCCAGAAGCGACTTAATCACGCTGGCCATATGACCCAAAAGCTGTCTGCGGACAAACGCCGGGTGCCTCGGCCTATAGAGCGAGATGAGCAAGCAACCAGAGTCGTCCGCGACTGGACCTAATGGTCAGGGGTACCTTTACCTTTATGTTTCCGAGCACAATTCAAAGTGTTGGTGCTGACCTTTAAAGCCCTAAACGGTCTCAGTCCAGTATACCTGAAGGAGCGTCTCCACCCCCATCATTCAGCGCTGAGGTCCAGCGCTGAGGGCCTTCCGGCGGTTCCCTCATTGCGAGCAGTGAGGTTACAAGGAACCAGGCAGAGGGCCTTCTCGGTGGTGGCACCCGCCCTGTGGAATGCCCTCCCATCAGATGTCAAAGAGATAAACAACTAGCAGACTTTTAGGAGACATCTAAAGGCAGCCCTATTTAGGGAAGCTTTTAATGTTTAACAGACTAATGTATTTTAATATTTTGATGGAAGCCGCCCAGAGTGGCTGGGGAAACCCAGCCAGATGGACGGGGTACAAATAATGAATTATTATAATATTATTATTATCGATAAGTCTGTAGCCAAATGAAGCAGCAGAGTGCAATGTTCCACTTTAGGTCCAGGCAGGGAAGGTGGAGGCACAGAAATGGACTCCGTCAGAAGGTTCTGGTCTCTCCTTCCTTGGGGATTTTTAAGCAGAGGTTGGGTGGCCGTCTGTCATGGATGCTTTGGCTGAGATTTCTGCACTGCAGGGGGGTTGGCTGGGATAGATGTAAAGGCTATTCTACCTATCCTCCTGCTGCATGTGCAAATCCAGCCTAAGGATAGAAGTAACCATCTTGCAAGAAAATGAAGTGTTTCCCAAAATGCCACGGTTGCAGGTCTGTGCTTAAAGACAGTAGACCTTGCGCCCTCTCCTGGTTGAAGAAGGAAATGACAGTTTAAATTGATACAGTGGTACCTTGGTTCTCAAACACCTTGGTACTCAAACAACTTGGAACCCAAACACTGCAAACCCGGAAGTAAGTGTTCCAGTTTGCTAACTTTTTTTCAGAAGCTGAATATGCTCTGTTTTGAGTGCCATACTTCCATTTTGAGTGTTACACTGAGGTCTGTCTGTTTTTGCTATTTATTTTGCATTTTTGTTTTTGCAGCTTTTTTTGTTGTTGCTATGAGGAATTATGAAATATGGAGCAAGCCCTTGTGTCCGCGATGAAAGCGTTGCGTTGACTGGGTTTGATTCATTGACAATCATTTCTGATCGAATCCCACAAACCTCTGCCATTTGCTTTCTCTACACCTGACAGGCACGTATAAGCATTCGAAAACACAGACTGGTTGCTTCCCCAGGCATCCTGGGTCATAAAGATAGAAGGTAGCTTTGATGTAGTTTGTTAATAACACTGGTCAACAACAAATTTGTTGTCTGCGTTTTTTCAGCTGATTTAGGACGAATCCGATGCGCTGAATCCAAAAATCACATTGGTTTTGCTCAATCAGGTCAAGTTTTTGAGTTATGGCCACATGTCGTTTTTTTACATTTTTGTTCACATGTACGCTTGTGTGGAGCATTTTAGAAGAAGTTGGTGGGGGTAAAATGCCATGTCAAATAATTGTTTTGATTGGAAATGATTATTTTAATGACAAGAAGTCTTCAGGTTCGATAGTTCTGGGTGATTATGTCGAAAAGGGATCAGTTTGAAGTCATAAAACCTCAAAATCTTCCAAAAATTGGTGCTGCAAAGCATAAAGTTGGGGGATCAAAACCCCTGGCTCACTCGAGTACACTGAAGGAGAACTATGAAGGGGTGAAGTATGTGCTGGAGAAAATTGGTTATGATCAGCATAAGTGGTTTATTTGTGTTGACCAGAAGATGGTGAACTTTTTGTTGGGACAACAGTCTAGCTTCACCAAGTACCCATGTTTTCTGTGCATGTGGGATAGTAGGGACCGTGCTCAGCATTATACGAAGAAGGACTGGCCTGTGCAGGAGGAATTGGTGCCTTGCAGAAAAAGGAACGTCATCAACAACCCTCTGGTGGACAGAGACAGAATACTCTTCCCACCGCTGCACATCAAGCTCGGCTTAATCAAGCAGTTCACCAAGGCTCTGGACAAGGATGGTGACTGCTTCACTTACTTGTGCCAGGCTTTTCCAGGATTGACCATGGAGAAGTTGAAAGCTGGCATCTTTGATGGTCCTCAGATCCGTCAGCTCATCAGAGATCCAGAGTTCGGAAACTCAATGAACGAAGTGGAACTGGAAGCGTGGAAGGCATTTGTTCTGGTAGTGAAGAACTTTCTTGGCAACAATAAGGCCAGAAACTACGCAGAACTTGTCAACAACATGCTGACTGCTTTCAGAAACCTGGGCTGCAACATGAGCGTCAAGATGTACTACCTATTTTCACATATGGACCGGTTTCCTGAGAACCTGGGTTCAATGAGTGATGAGCAGGGGGAGAGATTCCATCAGGACATGAAAGAGATGGAGACCAGGTATCAGGGTCGCTGGGACGCAGTCATGATGGCTGACTACTGTTGGACTCTGAAGAGAGACCTCCCTGCCGCTGAGCATTCCAGGAGTTCCAAGAAACGGAAGTTCAAGCCCTGAAGTTTGAAAAATGGTGAAGCAACATGCAATTTACGTGTACTTACCTTTATCAATGCCCACCATTTAGTTTACAGTAATCAATGTTTCTATCAGGTAATCAATATATGTAGTTGGACAAACATTTTTTCTCTTAAAAACATATTTAGGATGATATGTGTTGACAAAAATCAGCTGATAATGCCACAAAAATGTAACTGATTTTGTCACAAGATCTGATTTTTTCAAATCAACATAGCACAAAAACCTGACCTGATGGAGAGAAACGGATGCCATTTCCTGATTCAGCAGTGCAAAAATACCCTAAATCAGTTGTAGAAATCTAGACAACATTCAAAAAGTAAAAAATTGTTGCCCAGTGTAATTAGATAGATCTTAAGGGCCAGGAAGCGTGTTCACAAGGAGATGGTAAATACTGCCATCCTTCCTCCTCTCCTGTTTATGACCTCCGGGGTTTTGCTGAATGCATTCCTCTAGTCTTGTTTTATTTACTCTCAGAATGTATGCATGCTCAAATTAGATCTTTGTAGTCTTAACTTTAACTTTGTCCCCACGTGGGGCTTTTTTAAACGCTCAGAGGAAATCTGATTGGTTCTTACGAACACTGTGTAAAAAGTTCTTTTGTGAATAAAACGACCTGGGCCAAGGGGTGGACAGGATTATTATTGGTACCTCCTCCCAGAGTCTTGCTGGTCAAGTCTTGTGTGTATTCTATTAATCAGAGTCCAATCCTTCCTTGCTTTTGGGATGCAACAGAGACAGACAGTCAGGTTGTGTGTTCACAGAAGTGACCAGAGATAAAGGACCACTTTAAAACTCTTGGGAGGCATAAATGCTTCTGAATACAGTCGCACCTCGGAAGACTAACAGAATCTGTTCCGGAAGTCCGTTTGACTTCCAAACCGTTCAGGAACCAAGGTGCGGCTCCCGATTGGCTGCAGTAAGCTCCTGCAGCCAATCGGAAGCAGTGACGGGCGTTTGGGTTCCAAAGAACGTTTGCAAACCGGAAGACTCACTTCCAGGTTTGCGCCATTTGGGAGCTAAAACGTTCGTCTTGCAAGGCGTTTGACTTCCAAGGCACGACTGTACCAGTTGCTGGCGGCTGTGAGAGCAGAATTCTGGACTGGATGGGCCACTAGCATGATCCTGCAGGCTCTTATGTTCTTAAGATAGGGTACTGGATTATTGTCATATAGCGAGGTGGGAGGAAGCTTTCATCACCTAAGACAAAAGCCTTTCTAGGCACTCTGAACACCGTCATCTTGAAAATACGTTTAATGTCCAATTGTATACAAAAAATGACAGCATTTTCAAAAAATATCAAATCCTGTATTTAAAGCCTCTTCACTACCATCATACAACAAATTTATCATCTAGAAAGAAAAATAATAATAATACAGCAGCAGGTGATATGGTCTATGCTTCAGAAGTGTGATTGCTTAATAATTCCATATTGTAAACAAATGCAGTTAAATATCCACCCCAGAAGCACAAGCCAAAAAAAAAAAACCCAACCCCAAATTTCTCAGCAGTTTTCCCCCCTCAAAAAACAAAACAAAACCCCAACTCACAAAGTACAGATTGATACAAATTCCATTGCATAACAAGCATCAATTGGGCTAGAAATTGCTCACACTCTGGACAGAATGATTAAAAAGTTTTACTACACAGCATCGAACAATTGCCTGGGATGGTGCAGTAGGGGCCATTATTTATGAGAAAGGGTAGTCTCATGACCAGGGGGGTGGGTGGGAGCGGTCCAAGTAACATCAAGGGATAAGAAGCAGAGATCGTGAATCCCCAGGAAGGATGCTTTGTCCATAACCAAGTCTGGTCCATTTTGGATTTTTATTTGTTATTTTTGGGAAAAGTTTCCTGGAGGAGCCAAGCACAAAGATGCAAAATGCATTTTAATTCACAGGACTTCCATCTCCCTTGCATATACTGCTGTGACTTTTTCCATATATACCCAGAAGAGAAACTTTGATTGATATATATATATATTCCACATATGCACACTGGGAGGGAGCACAGAGAGAAGAAACGCCATGGTGCACCTGCAGTGGCACAACCGGACACCCCCATCTGCCCCAGCTGCAACAAAACATCTCTCTCCTGTATCGGTCTCTGAAGGTGCACTTTTCCATCGTCTCCTGAGACGGACAGATGCCAGTCAGCAATGCATGATCCCTTTTATCCAAATGGTGTCACCAGAGCATCCTTCTCCACAGCCTTCCAGATGTTTAGGCCTGCCAGCTCCCATCAAGGCCCGCCCAGGTGACAGGAGTTGGCAGTTCAAAACATCTGACAGGCGCCTGGCTGTGGGAAGGATGAACCAGAGCAATGCATCTGTCGACCGACTCCTATTTAGTTGCTGCTGTGTTTGGGCAGCGTTTCTGAGGGAAGTGAAAAAGGAAGAGAACGTGGAAATCCGGACACAGGATCTCAGCTTTCAGAAACTGCAGCAGATCTCCCAAGGGTGTGTTTGTCGCTGACTGGGGTTTCCACAACCTGCCTGGCCCTCTGCTCCTGCCGCTTCCTAGCACCCCAGAATTATGCCAAAGTAGTGAATGGTTACGGTGGTGCCCTGCACAAACTTCCACACAGAATCCAGGCTCTCTCTCGGCATGGCATCTGGGCAGAGGTTTAATAAATCTGCAAAGCCCTGAATTCAGATTTCATCCTCTTAATTTGGAACAGATGAAGCAGCGGCCGGCCAGCCTTTCTGTCCAAGCTGTTTAGTCCAGTATCTGCAAACCTATACCCACTTACCTGGGAGTAAGTCCCGTCAAGTTCAGTGGGGCCTACTTCTGAGTAAACCTGCATGGTGCAGCAGAGCCGCATCTTACGCGGGGTTTAGGTTCCAAAGCCAACACACAAGGTGAAAACAGTGTATAGCCAAAACCACCCCCTTGTCCTGGCTGAGAGATACCACCACTTGTTTGCACTGGCTGCTGGCCGGGGACAGGACACACACACTGTGACTCCACTGCCTCCCCAACACTTTTGCATGTGCATGATCAATAGGAACAGAAGGGAGGCTGGACGAGACTTGAAGGCCCTTACAGTTTCTCGTGGGATCTTAGCACCTACTTTTGCAGGAGCTTCAGCCAAGCGGGTTACAGCTGAATTCACAGACGATGTGATGCGCTCTTAGCCAGGTCTACGGTCTCTCTCCTCTTCCTCTCCAGGGGCACTACAAATCCTGCAGTCTCTGCAGAAGGACGGCCTCAGGGTGGAGGCACTGAACGCACCTTTGGAAAAGTCTGTCCTACGAGCTTGAGGTTCAGCACGACCACTGGTCTGCTCCAGCCTTGTGAAAAACTCCTTTACTGTTCGTTATTTCCAAGAGTTCTTTTTTTTTTAAGGAAAAAAAGCACACAGAAGACATACACGTGGGTCGTCTTAAGCTGGTCTATGGAAGGTACATTCGCATTTCTCTCCTGCACACCTCAGAAGATCGCACGCTTCGGACCTGGAACAAACCACTCCCGCCCTGTCCAAAACCTGATGGAATGGCAAATACGGTAAACGACTCCCAAGTGCTAAACGGTGATTCTGGGGCCTTTCCACAGGTCAATGCGTGCCCACGCTTCATTTTAGCTTTTGCATACTTTGGCAAGTCCCTGTTCAGTGCCAATAATGCATCCCATCCAAACAGGAGAACAAATAACTTTGCTGAATGTGCATGCAGGGAGGGGATTTCTAGCACAGAAGCAGCACAGCACACAGACTTCAAAGAGCCATATTAGAACATAAAACCAAAGGTTGCTTCTTTCTTTTTTTGAAAGGTTAGCAGGACTTTTACTTCAGGGTTTATTAGGCTTGGAGTTCTTGACAAAACTGGTGGAGTTGGGGATGGAGAGGGGAATTGTCCCCGGTCACTAACCTCAATTACCACACTGAACAATATCCGATAGTTGCAGGTGTTGCAAAGTCACATACCACCGAGCAAATCACAACAACAATGAATGTGCTAGCTGGGGGGGCGACGGAATGCATTCTCCCTTCCCCACAACCAAGAAAATACTAGGCTCTGAATTTCTGGGAGGGTGCAATATGCCCATCAGAGAAGTGCAACATGGAAGGAAGGCATGCAGCCAAGAGGAAATAAACGCTTGCCACAAACTTACACAAGCACAGACTGGAAAGGCCCCTCCATTCCACACATGCAGATTTTTAAAATTTTGTTTGTTTAAACTCCCTGTTCCATGTCCACTCCACAGCACAGAATCGTAGAGTCGGAAGGAACCCAAAGGGAAACCTAGTCCTGCCATGATTAACCAGTATTTTTTTTTTTTTGCAGCCGCTAGAGAAGAACATGTCCATCCTCATCTCTACTCTACCCAGCCTTCCAATTCTCAGGGGTGAGACACCGATGAGCCACAGGGTGGCCTCTTGCAGAGCCATTTCCCACAGATGGCTTCTAAATGGTCACTTGCCTATGAATCCTTTGGATGAGCAGACAGAGGTTTGTCAAACAGACAACACAGCTGGTTTTGCAGGCAACTAAACTGTGGGTTTACTGGCAAGGCTGTCCTGTCCTGCAACATTGCTGATGCCAACAGCAACCAGATGAGCGCATGGTGCCATCCCTACAGGGGCTGTCTGAAGAAGAGGTTTACTTGAGCCTAGGGACGAACTCTGAGAAGCCAGAATGGAAGGGAAAAGTACACACACAGGCAAGTTAAAACTGCTGTTGCAGCCACTGCCCGGTGTTGGCTATACGCAATTTACTTTGTTGAACCAAGATGGCCTGAGAACAGACTTCAGGAGACACCCCCCACTGCAGAACGACCTTCCTATTTAATCCGATATTAGACTCTGCCATTTGATTTGGGAATAAGATGACAGCACTCAGGTGAAGAACTGTACAACTGCGCTTTGTGGAGTTCTGATAATAGACACCATCGGTTCCCAAGTGAGGGCAGCGGTTATGCAAGGACCATGGGTTCTGGAGCCACTAAGCAAGAAGAGGATTATTCTGGTCAGATTCCTGCCTCCTCCCTACAATAAACATTTTAATTCCATCTGAAGGACAAAAACAACCAAAAGGTTATCAGGCCTCATCAGTCAACCCAATGGCAGTTCTAGTCCTAGATTTAATATGTGGACCATTTCAGAGGGAAAATCCATTCTCTTAATGAAAACAGTGAAGTCTAAATCAGCTGGCAGACTAGCCCCTCAGAATGATCTATCCGAACTGCCCGAACACCTAAATTGGGCGGTGCAACGATGCTCACAGCTGCCTGGAGGCTAGACATCAAGTGTCAGATCTAAATCTCTGCCAACTATCTCCCAGAACATGGCTAAGATAAATTGAATGCGATGTGGAGAACTGCCTCCAGATTAACATGGTTTGCTTCTTTTCAGTTTGATGAGTGACTCGTAATGTGTCTAGCCTATCTGTCCAAGAATTTCTCCAGAATACACCGAGTTTATTGAATTGACTTGAACACACAGACACAAGTCCAGCAATGGCGATGGGTCCAGGTCTTCCATCAAATTCCTGGACTATCCTGGAGCAGTCCTAACTCTCTGGGCAAACAGCCACATATTCCAAGGTGGGGTCCTCACCTCCCAAACAAGGATCGGGCAGCTGGGGCATGTTTTATCCTAATTCACTGACAAACAAAAAGGTTACTTCAGCATTTGAACAGAGTCCAGCTTACGCAGAGTCCTCCTCCGTGCCTCAGATGAGCAGGCAGAAGGCGAGCGAGCTCTTTTGAGACTCCAAAAGGTTACAGAAAACGAATGTTTAACTTCTCTTGTAAATAGCAGTTGTAGGTGAGGAGACTGCACTTCATCAGTCCGGCACAAGTTCAACGGTAAGGCTGGGGAACAGAATAGAGAGAGAGAGAGAGAGAGGTCAGTCAGATTCTGCAGTTCCAAGATCAAACCACTGAGGGTTTGCTCCAGGAGCCAGACGAAGGGTTGAGGGGTTGACAAATGTGCAAAGCCATTAAACGCGCATTTCTCTCAACAGATCTAAATCTATATCCGAGCCTATTGTGTGCGACTGAGGCCAGTTTATTATCTGCATGGGGAAAAGGACAGTGTTAGACAGGCAGCAGATTCTTTTCTTTTTAAAAAATGATGCTACCAGGGCTGTTCTTGCAGTGACTACAGAACATGCTATGAGGGTAGGATTAGTGTTGCATATGGAAATCACACCCTCTGACCAGCAGAAGCCATGCCTAGAGATTCCCTCTTTTTTAGACCATTGCCACTCACCAATAGGTTTTTTCCCTGAAGCATAAGGGCCCTAAACGTGACTCACTGAAATGGACAGAAGAGGCCACGATCTGGACTTAGCAATGCATCCATGGCTATTTCCCACCCCCAACAGCAGGTTGCTGCCCATTGCTGGCTACAATTGGGATGTTCTCCCTTCCCTGTGGGAGCTGCTAGGATGCCAGCTGCATTGGAATCACAGGTGGGGAGGGGGCTGCTCCATGATTGCAGTCATGGGATTGTTGTCTATCACATGACGGTGTATGTTTTGACTCCAGAGTGGGAATTGACGGAGACAGGATGTTTGTGTTACTGTGTTCCGTGAAGTGGGACTATTGTCCTTTGTTCTTTTTCTCTGCTGTCTGATGCTAGAGATAGAGGGAGCCATGTTGCAGTGCTCCGTGTGTGTTTGTATGTAAATAAAGTAGATTAGCCAAAATGCTGAGTTGCTGAGGTCTGTTACACAAGCTGCGTAGACTCTGCAGATCCCTAAGTGTGCCAGTGTCTGTTGGCATCGGTCGCTGAGATGTTCGGGGAGAAGTAAGATTTTGAAGCTCCCGAATGATCGACCAGGAGGGAGAGAACATGCCAGTCGGGCATGTGTCTATGCCAGGGTCCTACTCGAGTGTAGGACGAGCTCCTGACAGCTGGCAGGATTCGCACAGGCATCCGGTTGGCCACCGCAAGAAGATGATGCAGGGCAGAACAAGACACTACGCGTCATAGGGCACTCCAGAAAACACCCCAAATTCTTTGTGATACGCAGGGATTCCTAAGACAAGCTGCCATGGAAAAGCTTCTCTTAGAAGATCAGGGAGGGAGGGTTACTCTTTTGATGTTTCTGTTCTAACAATTTGCGCTTTTATCTTGTATTTTTATCTTGTGAACCACCCCCGAGATCTTTTGATGAAGGGACGGTATATCAATCTAATAAATAAATAAAAACCCCAAATAAATAGAATAAGGAAAAATAAAGCTTATCAAATTAAAAGCTGCAATTCAACAGCTGCCTCTGAAGAGGTTCGCTGGCTCTGATGAAGCACAGCAATTGGGGGAGGACATTTCTAAAGGTGAGCTGCAAATGAAGGGACTATTAGGAGAAGAAGCAGCAGCTTGCTGTACTCACATGAAGGCCCCCCGGCATGGACGGAGCTCCAGCGGGTGCAGGTGGCACTTGGTAAGGATTCGGCGGCGTTGGGTACAGTCCTGGAGCCGGATAGGACCCTGTGGGCGGGGGAAATGGGGCTGGTGGCGAAGGCCCCCATGGTCCGGGGGGGACGGCGCCCCACGGCACTGTAGGAGCGGCCCCCGGTGCCTGGGTGGGAGTGGAATACGGCCCTGGGGGTGGGTACGGCACACTAGGCGCAGGGTACTGGCCCCCCACGGCGGGCCCCCACCCTCCTCCGGCAGACATGGACCCCCACGGCCCGACGGCGGCAGCAGGGGGTGCAGCCGGCTCTGCTGGGCCCCCGTAGGGCCTGGGGAGTTCTGGGAAGGACATGTTTGGAGGAGGGTACTGGCCAGGTGGGGCAGGGCCTGGGGGCGGGTAAGGGGTGCCGGGAGGGGGGCAAGCCGACCCAGGAGGTGGGAAGGGGGCAGGGGCTCCGGGGGGGAGGGAAGGGTACATTCCCGTGGGAGGGGGTCCAAAAGGGACGTTGGAGGTGGACGTGCTGGGAGGCAGCCCCGACATTGCCGCGGGGGGAGCGCTTGGCGGGTTGTTCCAGGGGTTGGAAGCGGGCCAGGCTTGGGGGGGCTGGCCGGGCTGCTGAGCAGGTTTCGTGTTGCCCAAGGAGGCGTTCTTGGCAGGAGACGTGTCCGGGAGAGCATCCGCCAGCTAGGAAAACGAAACACGGGGTGAGACTCCACCACTGTTGCTACTCCACCAGAGGAGCCTACACTTTATCATCATCACCACCACCACCATCTGTGGCATCAGCCATATACGAACAACCTCTCATCTCTCTCTAGACTGTTTTGATACCTTCCTTGCTCATCCCACCATCGAAAGACACCAGATTCAAGACATGGGGGAACTCACTGTGCCTTTCCACAGCAAATTCTCTACCGGTGAGTCCTGACCCGACTCTGGGGCGGCCAGCTTCTCGCTGTGACCCACCAAGATTTCAGCACCTCCGCTTTACTGTTCTTTAAAGAAGGTTAAGGCGATCAATGGTCAACTCTTAAGTATCCCAGTAAAACCACTTCCAAGTTAACGTGTGAACTTGCCGGGTTAAGTGTGCTTTTCTCAAATTTCCCCCAGGTAAGCACATCAGCTCAAACACTGTTCATTATTAAGGGGGGGAAACTATTTAGACAGCTTGGAAATTTTAACAAAGCACTTTTAAAAAGTGTTGCAATATATATAAAAAATAAAAATTTGTCCAGTAGCACCTAAGAGACCAACTACATTTGTTCTTGGTATAAGCTTTTGTGTGCATGCACACTTCTTCAGATACACTGAAACAGAACTCACCAGACCCTTATATATTGTGGGAGGGTGAGGTTTGTCATTATACCTTAAAAAGTGTCGTTATAAGTAAGACAATTGCACTTAGTCCGGTCTCTGTTGATTTGGGGCACTGGGAATTTTTCTGCAAACCCACATAGCTTACTGGTGGGTCACAATTGTTCAGGCCATTTCCAGTCCATGGTTGCCTGCCTATTCTCTCCCTCCCTCCATTCCACATTTGTTCTGCTGCTGACGTCGCCTCTGCATTCCAGTTTGTCAGGATGTCTCCATGGTTTAGGCCCTGCCTTCCCTTCTTCGGAAAAGCTTTCTCTTAAACCTTCTGCCTCCTCTTATCAGGGCTCCAACCACACACTTGTCAGATGGACAATCTCAACCTCTCCCGCCCAACAACGCAGGTTATAGTCCCAGTGGGCAGAGATTAACCACTAACATTATGTGGGATGGGGGAGGTTAACTGCATTAACAAAATGAAGCAGTTCAACAGTAACATTCAAGGGTCAGTGTAAAAAGCTATAGCAACTTAATGTGCTTCTTTCCCCATAAAAAATTCAGCTCTTGGGTCTGCATTGGAATACACACCATCATCCATTCAAACATCGGAATTGGTCTTGATACAATCACACATTGGTTGCAACCAGGGTGGATAAAAATCATTGATATTTTTAAAAAAAATAAAAAATATGATTTTTTTAAATTTAAATTGGATTTTTAAAATAAAATGCTTTTTGGGGGGAAATCTGTCTAAATATAGTTTTCTATTTAAGTTACATTATAGTCCAAAGACTATTCATCAGGAAATAAGGATTTGTTTTAAGTTTTTCATGGGTGCCCAAAACTCAGTTTAAGTTTTTTTTAATAAAAAAACCCGTTTAACCACATCAGTTAACAAACATGGATGCATATGCTATAATGTTATTGTTTCTGTTAAATAAATGGTTATTTAAATATACAGCAGAAAAGTTGTCCAAATATAAAGTTAACTTATTAAACCTCACAATAATTTCATAATTATCTGACTATGTATTTCTAATAGTATAACCAAATCAGTAATTTTTGATATAACTGTAAAAACTACTCTGAGAATTTATTCCAAAAATGAAACCTTCATATGGTTGTAAATATTAAGATTATAGCAGCAAGAATGAGTATTTCTGTAAAAAAATGATTTAAATCAAGTCTTACTGACAAGTGATTTAAATCAATTTGATTTAAATCAAATCCCCTGGTTGCAACTTAGAAAGTAGCCAACTTGGAAGACTTACCGAGAAGTCGTCAGCAGCTGACATTTTCCTGTAAAAGAAATAAATGAGATTGGTTTAATGCAGAATTTCAGACTACAGCAGGCATGTAATTTAGATGAAGCACATTCTGGTGCACAAATGAGAGTTCTTGAACTGCACGTCATTAAGCCTTTGCATGCTCAGCCACCTTCACCATCAACTGGGTTCCTACAAACCACTACATTCGAACCTTGGTTGCCAAAAAGAATGAGTTCCAGGAGTCCGTTCGACTCCCGGAACCGTTCAAAAACCAAGGCGCGACTTCCAATTGTCTTCAGGAGCTGCAGAAGCCGTGCCGGATGTTTGGCTTCTGAAAATCATTCGAAAACCAGAACACTCACTTCCTGTTTTCGATCTCTCGGCAGCTGAAACGTTTGGCGACTAAGCAGTTTGAGATCCAAGGTACGACTGTATTTGAGAGTCACTGCCCGCAGCCACCATATCAGTGCCATCAGCGTCAGTATTATTATTAATGGGACTTATTAGTCACTTGTTACCAGAGGTACAGTTAAAAACATAAATACACAATATCATAAAAGGGAAAGAAAGAAGTCACATGCAATGTTTGTATAAATCCAAACAACCCCACCCAACATTGGTAGCATCTTGTAAAACCACAAATCATCTTACTGGTTGGACCCGCTAGACGTAGTGATGGCCAGACTTGGCCCTCCAGCTGTTTTGGGACTACAAATCCCATCATCCCTTGTTAACAGGACCAGTGGTCAGGGATGATGGGAATCGTAGTCCCAAAACAGCTGGCAGGCCAAGTTTAGCCATCACTGCACTAGATAAAAGCAGCTGCTGCCTATTTCTGCTGGATAAAAAGGTCCCTGTATCACTGTGAATGAAAAGGGCCCCATGTTAGTGCAAGGGACCAGTTGAAGTGAGTGCTTGCTGCTCATTTGAGTCTTAGGAGACAACATCCCTTTTCCCTAGGATAAAAGATTCTGACTAAGACCCTTGAATAAGGACTGAGTCCCCAGCCAGGAAGAGCATCACAAAAGAAAAATAATGGAACCATCACAATACAGTGGTACCTCGCAAGACGAATGCCTCGCAAGACAAAAAACTCGCTAGACGAAAGGGTTTTTTGTTTTTTGAGCTGCTTCGCAAGACGGAAACATCTTGCAAGTTTGTTTCTTTTTCTTAACACCGTTAATACAGTTGCGACTTGACTTCGAGGAGCAACTCATAGAACGCGGTGTGGTAGCCTTTATTGAGGTTTTTAAAGATTTTGGAATAAGATTTTTGAAGCTTTTCCAAAACTTTCCCGACACCGTGCTTCGCAAGACGAAAAAAATCGCAAGACGACAAAACTCGCGGAACGAATCAATTTCGTCTTGCGAGGCACCACTGTACACACGTCAGAAGAACAAACTCTCCAGGTCAAGGTAGCCGGCGCTACCTGTGTTTAGCAAGAAGTTCTGCCTTTAAAGGCAATTTGACACAACTGTGTCAGTAAATCTGCTGACGGCACATCAGTTATTGGGTCAGCATTTAACACTGAGCAATACATAACTGAATGCTTGCAATTTGCAACGAACTATTCCCACCCTCAGAACCTTTGCCACCCCCCTTCCTGAGCATCTGCCACTGCCATTGACCCCTTTAAATGCTGCACAATAACTTGAGAAAAATCTATCCCATATTTCTTCCCCCGAGGAAGTGTTGAAAACGTACAGCAAGCACAATCAAACCATGAGCTAAACAGTTAAGTTTCAACAGTAGAATCAGTAATCACAACAGGCATCCAGAAAGTTCAGCAGATCAGCAGGGAAAACAAGAACAGACAACAATCCTCCATCCATTCCGCTTCCCTCAAAAGCCTCCCTAGAGATCTGGGTCTTCATCTGGCACCAACCGGCATATAGCAGTGGGGTCATTTGGCCCTCCCTGGGGAAGGCACTCCAAAGAGGCACAATGGAAGAGGCTAAGGCCTCGGGCCCAGTTGCCAAACCTGAAAACAATGCCTTATATATTATGCTGAACAGAAGATCCAGGAGGGTGCATATGGAAGGTAGTTGTTCTTAAGGAACCCTTAATTACAGTTAAGAGCACGAGCAGATGCTACCCCCAAATTTAGCATACTCCTATTTCCCATGTGATCCACCCATTCTGGTCATCCTAACATAACTGGGGTAATGAGGGATCCAGAGAGGAGTGGCAAAACCACCCCACCCCACCCCACCCAATGGGGGAACACAGAGGAGCCCCGCTGAATCCCCTGATGCACAGGACGTCCTACAACCCATCCGGACCAATATCAAGTACCCATAATATCAGAGGCAGTCTACCTAGGAATACCACTTGCACGGGAAATGTAGGTAAGGGGGACTGCGGTTGTGCCCAGGTCCTGCTTGTGGGCTTCCCATGGGCATACAGCTGGCCGCTGTGAGAACAGGGTGCCCTTGGTCTGGCGCAGCAGGAATCTTCTTGATCAGGCATAGGCAAACTCTGGCCCTCCAGATGTTTGGGACTACAATTCTCATCATCCCTAGCTAACAGGACCAGTGGTCAGGGATGATGGGTATAGTTCCAAACATCTGGAGGGCCAGAGTTTGCCTATGCTCTTAATAGGTAAAAAGGTAAAGGACCCCTGGACAGTTACTGTTAGTTTCTGTTTCTCTCACTGAGCAGCTCCTTGCAGTCACAGGACTGTTTACATTCCAGAAAGTCCAGATACTGTTGGATTCTCACGGGAAAGGGAGACGGGATGTGATGTTACTGGTTTCCTGTTCCCTTTGTTCTTTCGTTTCTTTTGTTCAGTTGCTCTCTGCTCTCATAGAGAGGAGATGTGTTTTTTTTTGCTCTCTGTATAGCTTAGTAATAAAGTATAGCAATGTAGCCCATACCTGCCTCATCCTTCCGTTGTGGACTTTGTTGTTTTAATGCTCTGCTGGGATCAAAGGAAGATGAGCCATATCAGCTCGGACGACCGGAGCTGAAATTCTAACAGTTACGTCCTGTCAAAGGCGACTATGGGGTTGTGGCGCTCATCTCGTTTTCAGGCCGAGGGAGCTGGCGTTTGTCCGCAGACAGCTTTCCAGGTCATGCGGCCAGCAGGACTAAACCGCTTCTGGAGCAAAGGAACACCGTGACGGAAACCAGAGTGCATGGAAATGCAGTTTATCTTCCTGCCACAGCGGTACCTATTTATCTACTTGCGCTGCCGTGCTTTCGAACTGCTAGGTTGGCAGGAGCTGGGACAGAGCAGCGGGAGCTCACTCCGTTGCAGGGATTCGAACTGCCGACCTTCCGATCGGCAAGCCCAGGAGGCTCAGTGGTTAAGACCACAGCGCCACCCGTGTCCCTGATGCGCTTAATATCTTAAGTGCAGTAGAGGCACTTGTGCAAGATACAAATATTGGCTGGGACAGATCTCTTGGCAGAAGGCTCCGTTCTTATTCACACTTGCATATGTGTGTGTAACATTTCTTTCTTCTGGATTTGTATGTTGGTCCTACTCAAAGCAGAGCTACTGGAGCCAGTGGACAAGGCAAACTTAGGTCCATTAATCCCATTGGGTCTAGTCAGACAACAGCAACCCTTAGTTTCCAAGAAGAGAAGCAGGGAAGTAACAGAAATACTGAATTACTCTAGCAGAGGAGTGTATCCAAGAGTTATTCCTCCCTCCCCATCCTGATCAACACTCAGGCAAAGCCTAAAAATAGAACAGCTTCTCAGCACTAATTGCTTTGATGACCTCTGTGCTGCCACACCCATGCCATGAATGAGGAAGGGGAATGGAGGAGAGAGGCAAGACCTTTAAGCCAGCTGCTGACTAAGCCTTGGATTGGCACAGCTATGACCAGAATGACAGAGATGCAAAGGTCCTTGGTACTAGCTACACAGCCGCACCCACCAAGGGAAGCCAGGAATTCTGCAACAGTGAAACTGGATTATAAAACAAGTGCACGCAAGCGACTGAAACTAATTCAGCCTGGCTGCACAACTTCCCCAGGACTTTTGGATACTTTTCTGGTAGGGACATGTTAGTGGGTTGGAGGAAGTGCTCAAATAAGGCAGGGGCAAATGAAATCTGAGAGAACAGGGTGACAGCAAGCTAAGCTCTCTTGTTGATCAGACCAGGAAAGGGGATCAAAAGCCTTTGCCTCCGTTTTCAATTGGCCACAGTTTAGTGGTACGTCCAACCTTGAAGTTCATTTTAACTATGGTTTACTGAAACAAGTAAGGTTCATAAAGCAAGGATTGAAGTTTGTCTGTTTCAGCAAGACAACCCACAGTTTGCTTGGGTTAGTACAAAATGCTAAACCGTGGTTTGTTAGAAACAGCAGTAAAAGCTTCCGAGGGAGAGAAACGTGATTCTGATGCATTCAAAGGACCAACTAGGCGACCTCTTCACAACAGATAATCATACCTACCTATGAACAAACGATAGCGTATCTGGAATCCTGTGTTATTCTTCTTGTCTGCAAATTGTCTAGCTGCTGAAATCTCAGCAGACAACACAGAGCTAAATTATCTCAATTCCCTCATGGCTTAGCTTAAATTGTTTCATTGTTGGCAACCATTTGGCACCACTTCACTAGAAGCAAAACAGCACTGGTGATCAACGAGTATCTCCAGAGGTGGTGCAGTTTCAGTTTTAAGTGTCTCATTAAACCTTGCCCTACAAAATAATCTTAGGTGGAAGGAATCATCCTAGCAGAATGGAAAACTGTGGTCAGTTATTTACGTAAGAACCATGATGATGGGGAAACCCAGCCAGATGGGCGGGGTATAAATGATAAATTATTATTATTATGTCACAAACCCAAATAAAAAATAAGGAAATGCACCAACATACTGCATTATTGCTTAAACATACTGAGCCCTAGGGAACGGGAGGGAGGGAAAAACCATCATTTAACTGGAAACTGTTTTTGAATAAGCCATTTCTGGACGTGCCAGAACACCCTACGCCCGAAAAAAACCCTTCAGTAAGTGATAGAAGACACCTGAGACCCCCACATGATTTGAAGAGGAAGGGGGGGAGTATTTTCCATCCGATTTGGTCCTAGAGATGCAGAATGCTGTAGTACGAAAAGCATTACAGAAACAGAGAGGTACTTTAGACGTCTACTGAATGTTGCAGTAGGGATTCACAATCCATACAGTGTACGTTAACACGTACAGCGACAGCTTGCTTCCTAGATTGCCACAGGAGTGCAAATATTGATCGTGGGTCTCCATGAAGTTTATAAAGCTTGTGTGTTAACAAACAGCAAAGCAAGAGGGCATACCTGATCTTTATACACACAAACACTAAAGGGTGTGCCAGCAGAGAAAGTGTTTGTTCATACATAAAATACAGCTATTCTTTAGGTATTAGAGAGAAGAGTGACATGGAGACCTGTGACGGTATCATAGCTGTAATTTTAGGCGCACTCCTCTGGCAGCAGAACTCACTAGCATTTACTTTCTAGTAAACATGGCTAAATTCCAAGCCCCACAGCTACAGCATCTCATTTACAATTGCCAGCAACACTTTGTATCAGTGTCTTGATGCATGAGTGTGGTTTTGGTTTTTTCCTAGATAGAAACTACTACTACTACTACTACTACTAATTAATTAAATTTATATACTGCCTTTCCTCCAAGGATCACAGGATGGTTTACAGTATAAAAACACAAAAATGCATAACAAAATAACAAACTAAGCAGTTTAAAAGGCCAAAGGCCTGGGAAAAGAGGAATGTTAATATTTGGCACCTAAAGATAAGTAATGAAGGTGCGAAGCAAGCCTCATTAGAGAGAGAATTCCACAAGTGGGGAGCCACCATAGAAAAGGCCCGTTTATTGTGTTGCTGCCCTCCAGACCTCTTGTGGAAGGGGCACATGAATAAGGGCCTCAGGTGATGATGATCACAGGGTCTGGGTCAGTTCATATGGGGAAAGGTGGTCCCTGGGGTACAGTAAACCCGCAACTTATGTGGGAGTCATCTTTCGGGGATTGTGCCTAAAGCCAAAATCGTCTATAGTCAAAACATACTGGGTTCAATAGCGGGGGGGAGGGGCTAAGTCTTTTTTCCGCGAATGCTTTCCCCCTTTTAATTTGTTTTTTGCCAAATGTGTGAAGCTGAATGTGCACAAGTTATATCTGCGTAAGTTGTGGGCTTGCTGTATTGGGGTCCTGAGCTGTTTAAGGATTTATAGGCCATAAACAGCACTTTGAATTGGGCCCGGAAACTAATTGGCAGCCAGCACAGTCAGGCCAGAAATAATTTTTCTTCAATCTGCTCTCATAACAAAGAGCTAGCATCCTCATCGCAACTTTGCCAGGCATTCCAAGCACAGGGACAGGGCTGTGGTTTCTGTCAAATGGTGATATTCAGGGATTCCCACACACTAGTCAGCTGTAGCTTGGGATGCCTCAGGTAATTTCCATGCACCTTTACTTCCTCCCCAGGGGTGCGATCATTGACCTATATTTAGGTCCTCAAGGATTTATCACCAAGGATATGCAGGGCTTCTTCCTTACTCCAATAAGCACCCAGCCGGGTCACTTAGGTTTCCATGGCTTACTTCAGCCTGCACTCATGGATTGATAAACCACTGATGTAGATCTTAGATTGCTCAAAGGTATTTCCTCCTTAATCCTTACATAAGGCTGCAAGGTAAAGAAGTATCATGGCTTTCCCCAACATCCCCCCCCCCCTTACTACAGGCTAAGGTGATGTACCTGAGGCATATGTACGATGGAGACATGGGGACTACTTGGTCCTCAGCTCAGGACTCTCCCACTGCATGTCGTTAAAATAACAACATATTCTTCCCCTATCGACTCTATTTCCCCAGCACCTGTGTTGGAATCGAGGCTTGCCATATCTACTGTCTTTAAGAACACGAGCCTTAAGAACAAAAGACCACCCTGCTGGAGGAGGCCTGTTCTCACAGTTGCCAACCAGATATCTTTCTGGATCAAGCCAGCTGTCCATCTAGTTGTTCTCACAGAGGCTAAACAGGTGCTTACAGAACAACAACCCTCCCCCACTTCATAGCTTTTTTAAAGAGAAATGCCCTTATTCCGAATAGGATTCCTCGCAAGAAAAGGGAAAAGTTGACAGCTATGCCACTTGCAAATGGTATTCAGAGGCATACTGCCTCCAACACTGGGGTGAGAACATAGCCATTATGGCTAGGAGCCATTGACAAGGGGCCTATCTTCCAATAAATCATCTCTCTTTTAAAGCCATTGAAGTTGGAAGCCATTACTGCCTCTTGCAGGAATGAGCGCTTGTACTTTATCCTGACGCTTCCAATATTCAGCTGCCTCAGGTGTCCTAAAGAGTTTTGATATCATGAAAATGGAAACTTCACACTATCTGCTTTTCCCACACCATGCATAATCTTGTATGCTCCTATCACACACACATTGTCCAACCTTTCTTCTAAACTGAAAAAAGCACCAAATGCAGCAACCTTTCGGGGGGGGGGGGGAATGTGTGCATTGCTCCACCCCCTTGATCTATCTTTTGTAATGGCTTCAACAAGATTAAATAAAAAGAACTATCTCTCTCTCTCTCTCCTTGATTATTTTGGTTGCCCTTCTCAAAACCTTTTCCAGGGCAGTATGTAGCTGTAGCAGTAACACTAATAATAAACGAGAGAAAACTGACTGGGGAGCAAAACTGACCATGGGTCACCCAAACCCTTGTACAGTAGTACCTCGCAAGACGAATGCCTCGCAAGACGAAAGAGTTTTTGGTTTTTTGAGTCGCTTCGCAAGACGAATTTCCCTATGGGCTTGCTTCGCAAGATGAAAACGTCTTGCAAGTTTGTTTCCTTTTTCTTAAAACCGTTACAGTAACACAGGGTGCATTGCTTGAAGAGGTGCAGTTGCGACTCGACTTCGAGGAGCAACTCATAGCACGCGGTGTGGTAGCCTTTTTTGAGGTTTTTGAAGACTTTTTTGAAAAAATGGAAACCGTGCTTCGCAAGACGAAAAAACTCGCAAGACGAAAAAACTCGCAGAACAAATTAATTTTGTCTTGCGAGGCACCACTGTACTCCAGCTCTACCGTTGAGATCAGGAGTGTTGTTGACCCCCCAAGTCATTGAGGGTCATCTGACAGCAACAAAAAGCAGATCCTTCATTACCATGGGCCCAGTCTTGTGGAACTCCCTACCAACAGAAATTCAGAGGGAATCTTCCAACCGAAAACATTCCTGTTTAGGCAAGCCTGCCCAGGTGCTCGCAAAGCTGAGACGACTTTAACCTGCTTTCGCATTTTAACTTTTGGTCTGTGTCAAAGTGGGGCTGTGGGTCTTTCTCGATTTCTGAATTTGGAAGTTTTTAATGTCTGATGTTTTATTATGATTTTCTATGTGCAGGAACCACGGGCAGGGTATAAATACTAAATATTATTATTTTTATTCCACTTAATTAGTATATTGTTAAATCCCATGCTGATCGTTTTTATTGTCTATGTGAAGAACTATGCAGAAACTCTGGTTTTAGTATGCTGTTTGCCACAATAAACACTGATGATAATATTAGTATTATTCCACTTAAATAGCATATTGATTGTTAAATCCGATGCTCATCGTTTTTACTGTCTGTGTAAAGAACTATGCTGAAATTCTGGTTTTAGTATGCTGGCTGTTGGCTGTAAGAAACATTGATGTTGATATTATTCTTATTCTTATTATTTATTATTCCACTTAAATAGCATATTGATAGTTAAATCCCATGCTGATCGTTTTTATTGTCAGAAATTCTGGATTTAGTATACTGGCTGTTTGCCGTAAGAAACATTGATGATAATAATAATAATACAGTGGTACCTCTGGTTACGTACTTCATTCGTTCCGGAGGTCTGTTCTTAACCTGAAACTGTTCTGAACCTGAAGCACCACTTTAGCTAATGGGGCCTCCCGCCGCCGCCACGCGATTTCTGTTCTCATCCTGAAGCAAAGTTCTTAACCTGAAGCACTATTTCTGGGTTAGCGGAGTCTGGAACCTGAAGCGTCTGTAACCCGAGGTACCACTGTAGTAACATTTCGCCGTTCTGGTCTTAATTTTTTGGGAACCGCTTTGAGGCTGCTTTCGGCCCTATGACCAGGCGGGGTGCAGATTTCCTGAAGCAAATCAACAAAGGGACCGGGGAGCCCGAGGGGCGAAGGGAGGCTGGAGCTGCCGGGGGCCGCTCTCCGTTCCCACGAGGGCCGCCCCTTCCCTCCCCACCGCCCCTCCCTCGCCTCAGCCGGGGCAGCCGGGCCCCTTCCCCCCTCCCCCCATGGCGGGGCCTACCTGGGCGCGCGCGTCGAGGAAGCCCCGCCACAGACGCCGCTTCTCCTCCTCCTCCGCCTCTTCCCTCAATGCCCTTCCTGAAGCAGCCGGAAGCGGAAATGAGCCTCGCTCTGGCTCTCTCTTTCTCCAGGCCACCGCTACGCCCTCCTTAGCCAGCCGGAAGCGGAAACGAGCCTCGCTCTCGCGTCGCAAGCGAGGGAAAGGGGGAGGGGCCTGATCACGTGACGCTGCCCCGCTGCCTTCGCCAGCGAGCAGGCGCGGAGTTGAGCCCCGCCCCCTCCGCCGAAGAAGTCGCTCCGAGTCTCTCCCCCGCCCCTCGCGGGGGACACGTGACGGCAGGGGAAAAACAGCTCCGCCCTCACCCATGCGCCGCCGCCGCCGGAAGAGGTGGAGTCTCTGTGGTGCCCCCTGCTGGCCGGAGGAGGGAAGTGCACGTATCTCGGGTGGGTCGGGGAGGTTTCGAACTCAGTACCTTGAGTAGTACTTTTTAAGAGCTGCATATATATGTGTGTGTGTGTGTGTGTGTGTGTGTCTAGCCAGCTCTCTATCTAAAATATAATAGTGTGGTGTGTGTCTATATAATATGTGTGTGTATATCATAGAATATACACACACACATATATAATTCTATGATATACACACACATATTATATAGACACACACAACACTATTATAGAATTAGTGATGTATGGAAGTGAGAGCTGGACCATAAAGAAGGCTGATTGCCGGAGAATGGATGCTTTTGAATTCTGTTGCTGGAGGAGACTCTGGAGAGTCCCATGGACTGCAAGAAGATCCAACCTCTCCATTCTGAAGGAAATCAGCCCTGAGGGCTGACTGGAAGGACAGATCCTGAAGCTGAGGCGCTAATACTTTGGCCACCTCAGGAGAAGAGAAGACTCTCTGGAGAAGACCCTGATGCTGGGAAAGATGGAGGGCACAAGGAGAAGGGGACGACAGAGGACGAGATGGTTGGACAGTGTTCTTGAAGCTACCAGCATGAGTTTGACCAAACTGCGGGAGGCAGTGGAAGACAGGAGGGCCTGGCGTGCTCTGGTCCAGGGGGTCACGAAGAGTCGGACATGACTAAATGACTAAACAACAACAACAAATTTTAAGATGTGTTTTAATTAATTGATTGCCTGCTTTTATGTTCTTATGTTCTTTGAGGCTGTTTGCATAGAAGAAGAAGAGTTTGGATTTGATATCCCGCCTTTCACTCCCTTTAAGGAGTCTCAAAGCGGCTAACATTCTCCTTTCCCTTCCTCCCCCACAACAAACACTCTGTGAGGTGGGTGAGGCTAAGAGACTTCAGAGAAGTGTGACCAGCCCAAGGTCACCCAGCAGCTGCATGTGGAGGAGCGGGGAAGTGAACCCGGTTCACCAGATTACGAGTCCACCGCTCTTAACCACTGCACCAAAGTGCTTTGGTGGATTTAAGCGGAGTGTTTGAACTACAGTTTTTGCTAGTTTTTGCTACTAGCTGGCTGAGTTGCCCAAAACATCTAGAGGGCACCAGATCAGTGAAGCCTGTCAGAAAGACTACATTTTCTTCCAACTTTTCTTCTTCTTCTTTTCTCTTTATTTTTTCTTCTTTTTTCTTTTCTTCTTTTTTCTTTTCTTCTCCTCCCCCTTTTGTTCCTTTTTTCATATATATGTGCTTATTTGAAATATATATGTATGTATTTGCAATATTTTGCTTATATTTTGTAACAATCATGTTAAATAAATTAAAACTTTTTTAAAAAATATTAGAAAGACTACATTTATTATGGCAGAAGCCCTGGCGGCCTACAGTCCTATCAGGGAAAAAGGTGGGGTATAAATAAATATAATAATAATAATAGTAATAATAATAATTAACCATGTTGGCCCCAAAAGGGGTAAACCCCAAATCAGCACAGCCGGAAAAACTTATGGAGAAGACAAAAAATTGCCATGTTGGTCAGGGTGCATTTGATTTAAATCAAATCAATTTAAATCACTAGTCAGTCCAGAATGCCACCACCTGACGTGCGTGGGTTGGTGTGGTCATATTTCACTGAAATTGTGTTATTGATGATTAGCAGTGTGCTTCCGGTCCCTTTAAGCCTTCTTTGACCTAGATATAGTGCTGTTCTGGGATATCTCAGTGCCTGTTCCCAGATGAACTTCCGTGTGACTTGAGATCATCTGAGAGAGTCCAGAGTTACATTCCGCCTTGCAGGAAGCACAGAATTCTTCCTTGCTTCCTTGGAGCTGTGGAATGCCCTCTGCTGGGCCGTGCGATAAAAAACGACACAGGTTTGCATGATCCACATGCTGATTTATATTGAGAGATGCAAATTTAGAAATAATTAACAATTGTTGAAAGTGAGGAGGGTATGGCTCCTTCCCTTCTGGCGTTCCACAGGCGCGGGCACAAAGCACTCTCGTTTCAACATGCCATCAGCCAGAAGAAAAAGGAAATCCAGGCTGATAATTGCATTAATCCCTGTTGCATTAAGTGTATTAATAATGATGCGCTCAAAGCTTTTTGTCATGGAGGGGGCGGGATTTAATCCTCAAGGGGCTGCTGCTCATTTCTACGAAACAAAAGTGAATGGAATATAATGCTGTATTGTTTTTAATTCTGTATTGTTTTTGTTATGTACTGAGTTGAACAGGATCCAAAATGTCTGATTGGAATAGGATCCAGCAGTCAGATTGGTCCTAGAACAATAGGATCCAGAATGCAACAGTCTGATTGGTCCACAGGAGCCACCCAATCCAGCTCCAGGTGGAAGTGAATCCGCAACCTGATTGGCCTACAGGTGAATCCCGGAATTAGCCAATCACGTGGGGCCCATTGTGTAAATAATGTATATAAGCAGACATTCTGGGCGAACTTCCATTCCTCCTCACCACTATGAGCTGAATAAAGAGCATGAAATCCACTCTCGACTCCGAGTATATTTCAGTTTTTAACACTCGATTGGGAGCCGCCCAGAGTAGCTGGGGATACCCAGCCAGATGGGCGGGGTATAAGTAATAAATTATTATTATTATTATTATTATTATTATTATTATTACAAGTACACTTGGCAATAGGGGCCGTTTTGTACAGTGGCTAGAGCTTTGGACCTGAGCTACGGAGAACCAGGGTTTGAATTCCTGGTTCATGACAAAGTTTACTGTGGGATATTCTCACTCTTTCAGCCTAACCAAGTTTGCAAAAATGGGGAAGGGGACAAGAAGCATGGAATACATATTTTAGACTGGGCAGAATCTTGTTTCTTTCATGCTTTGCAAACTGCCTATTAACATCATCATCATCATCATCATCATCATCATCTTCATAATTATTACACCATCCCTCTGCCGTGACCTTAATACCGTCATTCCGACCAATAGGCAACGCCAGTGCTTTTTTTCTTAAAAAAATGTTTAGGGAAACTCTCATTTTCCTACTCATATTGAAACACGGCCCCTCATCGAGGCCAAACTTAGATTCACAAAATGTTTAGGGGTATGCGTACCCCCATTAAAAAAAACACTGGGCAACGCCTTTGCTATCGAACTGACTCGATTCTGCTTAACATACTGTCAGCTTAACATGCTCTCCAAATATGGCTTTGCTAATGCAGTATAAATAACTGGGCCTCCCAGCCCCCTCCCCGACCCCTTGGGGATATTTATGACGGCAGTAGCAAATCCAGTGAATTCCATGGAAATCGCCTAATTCTTCCGACTCTCAGGGCTATTAATGTAATACCCACCGGTTCCTTTTTTTCCATTTATGAACAAAGGAAGAGATTAGGCTGCAGAGGGGCATTTGGGGAACTGCAACTGGTCTCCCTCAGGGAATTTTATAGACATTTCGGTGATAAATTAGACTTGCTGCAAACTTGCTGCAAGGCAGGGGGGGCGCAGAGCACTCTGAAGCGATTTGTTCCGAATGGGCCTGCTCAAGGGGCTGTTTGATGGGAAAGTGGGGCAGGGGGGTGGGTGGTCCTGCTGCCTCTGAACTTTCGTAAATTGCATTAACAAGGTCCCCTCCCTTATCCCCCGTAGCCTCTGGCCTGCCTGTCCAGGGCATTGGTCTCAGACTTGCTGCCCTCCCATGAGGAGGTTTGCAAGGATACAGAAGTGGGAATACTCCAGCAGCCTCGGGCGTCATTTGAGGGGAAGTCAGACTATAATTGAGGCAATCAATCTCTCCTTCAGCTCCGTAAGGGAGCTGACTGCGCTTCTAAGTTCATTTCCATCGCTGCTCGCCAAACCCATTTCCAGGATGATCCGGTATCCGCTGCGTTGCCCGTTTCGTGATGGATGGCAGCACCGCTGTGCCATGACACCGCTTCACGTCCCTCTCTCTTCCTTCCTCGCATCTGCACGCTTAATAAAATGGAAAATAAATCTTTCTGGAAACCTGCTTAGACCTGCCCTCCTCAAAACCCCACTTTTTGAGCCTCTCCTGAAACCCCAAGGAAAAAGCGCTCCATCCATGCCTGGAGGAAAATATCCCTGACTGTTGAAGCCTAGCCTCCAGCATTTCTCCGATGAAAATTGGGGTGTCCTATTTAATTAATTTAATAATAATAATAATAATAATAATAATAATAATACTTTTATTATTTATACCCCGAGCATCTAACTGAGTTGCCCCAGCCACTCTGGGCAGCTTACGACATATATAAAGGTAGAGGTACCCCTGCCCGTATGGGCCAGTCGTGTCCAACTCTAGGGTTGCACGCTCATCTCGCTCAAGAGGCCGGGAGCCAGCACTGTCCGGAGACACTTCCGGGTCACGTGGCCAGCGTGACGAAGCTGCTCTGGCGAGCCAGCACCAGCGCAGCACACGGAAACGCCGTTTACCTTCCCGCTATAAAGCGGTACCTATTTATCTACTTGCACTTAGGGGTGCTTTCGAACTGCTAGGTGGGCAGGAGCTGGGACCGAACGACGGGAGCTCACCCGGCCGTGGGGATTCGAACCGCCGACCATGCGATCGGCAAGTCCTAGGCACTGAGGTTTTACCCACAGCGCCACCCGCGTCCCTACATATATAAAAACACAATAAAACATTGAACATTTAAAAACTTCCCTGTACAGGGCTGCCTTCCAGATGTCTTCTAAAGGTTGTGTAGTTACTTATCTCCTTGGTTTGGGGGTCGCATAACTCCATGCCCTCCAACAATTCTCTGATGAATGTCCTAAGGGAAAGTGGAATATTCCAGGATCAAATCAGAAGCTGGGATGGCTTTAGTAAATCTAGGATTGCCCCTGGAATAATTTTATACATATCCATCAGGTCCCTTCTTCCTCACCTTTTCTCTAAAGTTAAAAGGGTTGTGTGTTTGCTTATACAGTGTAGTTTCATCTGTGATCGTTGCAGTGGAACCAGGAAATGGCCTAATCCAATTTGGTCCCTAGCGGCAGACAAGAATTGAATTAGCTGGTGGGCCGAGATGCTTTGTGCCAATGTGTGGTCCATTGCTAACAACTACCACCACCCCACCAAACGAAAAGACCCCACAGAGAGGCGCAAAAGGACTTCCAGCCACCCCAGGTTGTTTTCTTGATCAGAATAATAAGAATGCATTAGCAGGAGATCAAACAAGGGTAATAAATCTTCTGCTGCAGCCCTCTCATTACGCTAGATAATTTGAAATTGCCTCCTGGGCATTAAACAGTTCATTAGTGTTTT